TTTTGTTTTGTAAGTGTTAATTGTTATGTCGGCTGTTGAGGTCCTTGAGGAGAAGGGGTGTCTATATGGAATGTATTGAGGGCAAATTGGGAACTTCGAAAGCACGGAAAAAAAAAGGACACGCGGCGAGGATATGCATAAGCATGGGCCATTTTCATGCAACCAATGAGGAGAGAACACGTATGTGAGCAGTTGCTCTATTGCGGTTTTATATTTGGCGTCCGTGGTTCTTGGAAAACAAAGGCCTGTTGGTGCAACTTTCAGGTGAATTTCATTCTCGTCCATGCTAACATCTGAGTCGTCGATCAGATCAAACACTAATTCTACGAGCATATATGTGTGTTGGTTCGAATTGAATGTCAGTTCGAGCTGTTAAATTAAGCGAGTCGTTTGTGAGCTCGGCTCGAGGAGAAGATAAATGAGCGGAGCTCAAGTTTATTTAAAGTTTATTCAGTTAACGAGCTCGACTCGACTCGATATGGTTCGAAAATATAATTTTTATGTATTTTTCTATAATTCGATTGATTTTGGCTCATTAATAGTGATAAACAAGTCCACCTTGCACTCAATGTTAAGCTCGTGAAGGGTTCGAACTCGACTCGACTCGACTCGTTTACATCCCTAATGCTATTCGAGTCAAGTTGAGCTTTCACTTTTATAGAACCAAACCAAGTACGAATTATTAATTGAATAAGTCTATAAATGAATTCGAGCTTAGTTGGTTTATTAATATATTAATGAGTTAGCTATCAAAGTTGTGTTCAGTTCATTAGCTACACGATTTTTAAAATGAGATTGGAATTAAACCAAACTCATGAATTATTTCATTTAGAAAGCTATATCGTCAACCTCATTTCGCGGATGTAGTCATATATGTCCTCCCAACTTTTGATCAGTACAAAGTGCGTTACAAAAAAAATTGATATATTCGAACAGAAAATTATATGGTAATATATTTCAATGAAAATTCTAATGGATATTTCAATGGTATAATTTTCGTACGCTGGAACGATTCCAACAGTAATTCCAACCAAAAATATTTTATTGGAATGAATTTTCCGTTGAAATTTTGGATGAAATTCGACGATTTCAGTGACTATTTTTCCAACGGATTTTTACCATTATAATTTTAGTTGGAGTATGCAATTTATGTTGAAATTTTTAATTCTCCCTTAATTGAAAATTATCCGTTGGTATCGTCAAAATCCAACAAAAATTCCAATGAAAAATTCTCTCCAACATAATATTTCTGTTGGAATCTATTAAAATATATCTCCAGTAAAATTTTCCGTTGTAATTTCATCATTTTTTTAGTGGTTTACAAGCCAATGATTTAGTAAAAATAGTGTACTTTTGTGATGCTGTCAATGAAAGCAACCAATAACAAGTGTTGTGTAGTTGCAGTGTTGAGAAATTTTACAAAGTAGAGCTTTAGTGGACACTTAATTAAGGTCCATGTTACATCTCAATTATATGAATACATACATACTTATTTATCTATTAGACAGTTTAAGTTAATTTCATTAGCTTAGTTGATAGTTAAATTATTCTATAAAATCATGTTCTTTTAGATAATATTTAATCGTTATTATGTTGATAATTAATTAATTTAATGATAATTTCTTGGGAGTACAATTTTGTTCACCGACTACATATAATTACTCCGTACAATTGTCGTCAGTGAAATAATTCGACTACATATAATTACTCCGTACAATTGTCGTCAGTGAAATAATTTCACGAACAAATTTTTGGCACGATTGTCAGATTTTTTTTTTTTCTTTTTTTGCAGAATTAGATAATATTACGGGAAGTTGTATATAGATATCATTTGTTGGACATTATTGTGGTGGATTAGTTTTACAAAAGCAAATAAATTGATGTCTTTAATTGTTATAATGTTAAAATTGTGATTAAATTGAAAAACTAACAGGAAATGCTTTAATTTGTTATACAATTTTGCCTATAAATATTATACAAAGAATGTTTATAAATTATGATCAATTATTATAAAATTTCAAGAAATGTTACGGTGCCCGTTATAGAATTAACTAATTGTTGACCCGTGCATTTACACGGAAAACCATATGATAGAGGGGAAAAAAAACATTGTAAAAACCATAGCATAATCATTGAAGAAACCCAAAATATTTAATCTAAATATTATTAAACACTTCTTTATACACAACGTTCGTGATTTTTGTATCATCCCAATCTCCATCTCCACAAATCATTATCTTCAGACCCCTCCGTGACTCTAGATAGTGCCACATACAATTGTCCATGACTGAATACAAGATTCTTCAATAGTAAGTCGACGTGGGACGTACCTACGTACATCAGATGACGGTGTTAAATTCGACACATAAGATGACGTACCTACAATAATAAAATCGATAAATTTAAATAATTAATTACAAATTATGAACCCAAACCCATTGGAAAGAAGAAAATGTATTTGACCATTAATTTTTAAATTAAACAAAGAGCAATTTATAACAAAAAAGCCAAATTTTAAGGCAATTTCTCCATGTTATTTATAAACCCAATTTGTCCAATTCTAGCACCAATTTGACCAATTTATAACTAACGTTTAATTATTTTCCTCAAATGTACCAAAAAAAAAAAAATTATTTTCCTCAAATTTGATTCTTATATATGATCACAAATTTAGAGACCCAATTGTCACAAACAATTTCGAGCCCAACATATGTAAAAAAAGAGAGCCCAAACAATTCACAATTACTTTAGCACAAAATTTTACACATCATTCTTACTTCTCTTCTCTGTTTGACACGTGTCAGGCTATGTGATGCAAATATCAAACAAAACCCTACCAGACATGTTTTACCGGCGATTACGAAGCTTTGTACAACCCGAAAGTAAAAAAAAATACCTGAGATTTTTTTTTTCGAGCCGAAACAGAGATCAAATGAAAAATCAACCCGATTTTTTAATATTGACATACTAAATGATAGTATATCGGTTCAAATCGGACGATAACAAAGCAGATCTACAGTTTATTAAAAATTATATGTTTTTTGTGTGATTGTTGGATAAAAACCCTAATATTATTTTTTACTTTTCAGAGATCTAAACATCGTTTTTATCTTAGGTTCATAACAAAATATCAAAATTTGTACATATCTATTCATTCGGAAGTGTTTTTATTGTTTCATTTGTAAAAAATAAAGAGAAAATTTGAACATATATTATAGGATCTGAAATTTTTCAAACTATTTGTTCAAAATCTTTAAAGATTTGTGCATGTCTAAGTAGTTTACTGTTTAGTTTATAAAAAAAATATAAAAAATCTTAAACAGATCTAATTTTTTTTTTTGTTTTTGACGTAATATTAATGTGTAGACTGTTGAAAAATTAAAATTTTTTGAACAGAGCTGCAAAGATCTGTAGTATTTCATACATTTTTGTTAACAGAAGTATATAAAACTTTGCTTTTCTGAATGTGTTTTTTCTGCTTTTGTTTAATTTAGCATGAAACAACTCTCTGGTTTTTGTTTTAACCATGGTTTCTTCTACCATAATTTTTTTTTTTTTCTAACTTGGGGACAGTTTAATTATATTTGAACTATGATGTGGCTAATTGCTTCAGCATAAACCTATCTTTATGTTGTAACTGAATGTAATTTTAACTTGCAGGTAATCATAGTGTGTGGGTCTGACATGATGTGGTTTATATAGTTTTTTTTTTTTTTTTTGTGTGTAGAAAATCTGACTTATTTATTATAAGATCCATTTTTATTATTCAAATAATGTTAGTTATTGTAAAAGCTGATGTTAAGGTACTCTTGAGTAATTTAAAAGGAAAGAGATTGAAATAATAGTGATATTTTTTCAAAATTGCATGATAAGGGAATTAGTATGACAGATTAGATGGTCAACCTTGTGCATTTAATAGAAATTATATGACAATAGCTTAATTTTAGACTAACAATTGGAAGACCAATTTTATTTGCACGATTTTTGTTATTAAATGATAGTGATAATATGCAATTTGTTTTTTTTAGCTGTTGCATGATATGAGGGTTTAAATGATCATTTTCTTATAAAAATGACTCGAATCATTGATGAATATAATTGTGGAATATATAATTATAATTGCTGCTTTGACTGTTAAAATATATATTTTGTATGTTATTTTAATTTTGTGGTTATTGCATTTGGAAATAATTTTATAAGTTTTTGCATGATGACTGTAGTGAATATCGTCCACCATGTGGGGAAAAAATGAAAATGTCAAGTTGTGAATAAATCTATTAAACAAAACGTAAAATCAATGAATAATGTGGAGGAAAAGTATATCTTTGTCTTTATTTTCGTTGAGCATGGTGAGTTTGTCAAAAATTTCAGCAGCCATTGAAAAATGTGGAGGAAAGTGATTTGGTAGAATAATAGTAAAAATGTGGTTTGAGAGTAGAAATTTGGGGGAGCAATAAGATGAATTACAATGCTTATTTATATTGTTGTACAATATTTCATAGTTAAATTCCATACAATTAAAATTGTAAAGTCTGCATATTTCTTGGGAATTGGGATTTTATTAATGGCTAAAAATAAGGGATATTTTTAATTTTCTTTCTAAAACATTGTTGTTGTGCATGATTCATGGCAGATATATTGTGACTATTATGTGGTATCAATAATAAAATAATAATTACTAATGATTTTTTTCTTGTTTGTTTGCAGGATCAGATTAAAGCTGGAGGACATTTATTTGATGTTTGAGATTTTATTGATATTGTAAATGTGTTGTATTTTTATTTACATTACAATTTTTTATTTTATTTTAGCATGATTAATAAATAATAATAAAAAAATGAACATTAAAAATATGGTTTCAAAATTGTTTTGAGAAAGTCAAGCTATAGAATAAAATACATTATTGAAAATTTTTTGATAAAAAAGAATATTG